CATGTTATTGTTTTAATATCATTTACTGCGTTACTTATATAATATTCTTATTATTTTCTAACTATTTTTGTCTTTTTGTATCCATAATGCTGGGATATTTAAAATTATTATGAATAAAATGTAAAATGTTGTAATCTTATGTATTGTTATTTTCACCGACCGATATATGTTACCATTTGGTAGAACGAAATTGTTAATATTGTTATATAAACTCTAAAATCTATAAACTCTTGGACCTTTATCATGTAAGTGTTGAAGCCGTCGAGCAGATTCTCGTCCAAGCAGTTTCGTATGAGGATTCCAAGAGAGACATCTGCCCAAGTGTAGACCTTTTTAGCGGATCTGTTCAATAGGGATAAGTGTATTATTATTAAAGAGTAATATAGAACAGAAATTCCTAGATTCACGACGAATTGATCTGCATTTTTTCGTTACGATAGGAATACACTTACTGTGGGGAATTAATCAGTTGGAAAATATTAATTTATGGATCGAGGTGTACAAACTGTTATTGACGTTGAATTCTGTTTCTATTGCCTTCTCTATGCTAGCAAGAAAGAGCTTAGAAGGAAAATTCATATGCATAAAACCAGGACTGGACCATGATCTAATGGTCTTCCAGAGATTAGTCTATAGTTTCAGTAAAGAAAATCTGGTGGGTAATAAATGTATTTAGGATATTGGGACGTTTTTGGATAAATGGAGACCATTAAGTAGTGATCAGGTGAGAGATGACAGAATAATTACTGGAAGTTGAAACACAATACAGGACTTTACCTTGGTAGATGCATATTCGAAACACCATCGTCGATGTTCAGGGCTATAGTCTCCTCCAGCAATAAAGCGCAGTCTCCCAGATCGGAATTAGGAATCAAGGAGGATATAAGAAAGAACAATATACAACTGAGAATATTAGATGGAAATGAGTTGAAAAGATAACGAATGTTAATTAAACAGTTTCAGTTGGAATGGAAGAAATATGGGGATATGATAAGGATGCAGAATCCGGCGTGGTAAATGTTGTCTTGGTGGTCGCATCTATAAGTTACGCAATTGAGAATGTAACGATTCGAGCGTTAATCGAAGTCAGTTACAGTCAATAGAGCAATACCTATTTGAATTATTATGGAGAAATGTGTCAAATTCATCACAACGGTTATGTATTCCTTTATAATTCCACAAAATGATACGTACCGTCTTTGGTTCATTATAGGAGATTAAATGAAATCCTGATAATGATATAAGAAGGGCGATAAGTTTGTTGAAAGATGTTAAAGATTTAACTAAAAGGACAGATGGATAGAATTTATGGCCGTTGGATTTTGGTAGATAATTGGACTTTGATGAGTGTAAGGCTAATTCAAACTAAAAGATCTTGAAGAAGATAAATTTAATATAGTTGAATTATTTTTAAAAACCATAAAAAAAAAAAATAAAAAAAAAAATAAAAATAAATAAAAGATATGTTAAAGGACTAGTGTTGCCATGAATCAGTGTTGGTCTTGCACTTCGCAAGACCAAGACCAAGGCCGCCTAACTGTTGCAAGGCCAAGTCCAGGACTGATATAAAAACTCTATTTTAAAAAACAAATTGAGGCAAAATAGTCACTACTACTCGATAATCTTAGTAACTATTTGTTAATAATTTGTATAAACAATATGCAACTTCATTTTTCTATTAGCTCCTTTAATTTTTCATTCGGGCTTAGTTACGTTTCTCCTATCTAAAAAATTACGGTGATATCTCTATAGTAATAAGCTAATAAGTAACTGCAAGAATGCTGCGAGACTCTTGCGCAAGACCAAGACCATGACCTAGACTGAGTTTGCAAGACCAAGAATCGTCTCGGTCTCGCATTCGGCCAACACTATAAAGGACATAGGCGATTATATTTACCAAACCTAATCAGTTCTATGATCATTGAAGAGAAATCAAATTTCTTACCATAGGCTGATGTCAAAAGCAATGTTCCTGACAAAACCAGGTACCATCCATAGATTGCACCAAGATGCAGTATTGCAAATCCGATCACATTAGGCCAGATAATGGTTGGAACAAATTTTTCTTTTTTTCCTTTTAATACTTCCAGTTCCCTCGTGTCCTCACTTTTTGTCTCCATGATCTAAATGTACCGAAACAGATGATTTAATATTTCACAAAGCATTGGTCAAGTTAAAGTAAAAAGAATGAATTGTTTAATATTTCTATATGCATTGCAATTCTGAATACTCAAACAAAGACTTTTAATGGCGCAAATTGGTCATGATCATCATGTTGCGAATCCTTTACATACTTGTTAGTCCGAGTTATTGTACCATAAATGTTTTTTTTTTATTCGCGCTTGATGAGACGTTCTGGGAATACCAGAGTACCGAACTTCCCTCCTTCTATTACGCTTCTCTCACTTCCTTCCAATTTATTATTAAATTTCTATGTGTTAGTAATGTTAATAATATTACTTTAATTAAGGAACTAGTAAATATTTTGACATAAAATCAATTACAATAAGAGAAAAAATGTTAGAAAAACGCAATCCAACAAAAATATAAATAGATTTTACAAAACTGGACAAAATTAATTAATTGATCATTAGAGTAAAGAACAGTTATTACTTACATAAAGAACGTAATTAATTAATACTGGGTAGTTAGCTGTCAGGGTAATGTCGAATACAATGACATCACAACAAAAAAGTTACTTCAACAGACTTTCTTTTTCGGAGAGTTATTTGTCTAAACTGTTGCTCTACAATTACTCTTGGCTTTTATAAGGTCTTATATTAGGAAATACATAATGGATTATGCAAACACGAATTTATAGCAATTCGCCCTATCCGATTCAGTATGAAGATTAGCCGATAATTTTGTTTTCATGCTTACTAATTAATTTAAACACTCCACACTTACAAAAGCGGGTCATTAGCAGCTCAATAAATAATTAAATTAGGAATAACTAACCTACGTAAAACCAAATTTCTTCAATTGAAACGTGAAAATGCACACAGTTCCTTCCACTTGCTTTCCCTTGAAGATCACTTATACCACCGACGCACAGTGGGCCATCTAGCTACACAAAAGTCAAAATATCTTTGTGAAAAATTATTTTAAAAAACCTGTTCATTGGTTGATGGAGTTAGGAGTTGAAGAATTATTGATATTATCCGAATATCAAGGCCATTTCGAAAGGTAAGGGCTTTAAAATATTAACATCAAAATAATAAAACTCTTGCTATTTTTTTGTGAATAAATCAAGTTATACTTCTCTTAAAAATGAGAAACAAAAAAACAGATATATGATTTCAAAAACCTATATCTTACGTGCAACCTAAGTGCAATTCAGTGTTAAAAGACTCGTTTTAGGTAATTTAATTGTAAAGACACTCCTTCAAAAGAAGAAAGGATGTTGTAAATTGTGGCTTTCCCAGTTTTTACTTAAACTATGCCCAATCGATAGTTCATTATTTATTAAATATTTGAGTGAAAAGGCTATCTGCATCGTCGGTTTTTCCCCTACAGGTGACTTACTGGTGGTGGTTAGTGATGGGTAAAACTGTTTAACAACAGTAGCATTTGCAACCTACTACTTAAAAAAAAAACAGATGTGACTGTTTCTAAAATTGACAAGCAAAAAAAAAAAAAAAAAAGATCATACCTTTTTATTTTTACCATAATATATCAACTGTGGGAGGAAAACTGACCCCTGAGGAACTCCTGCTAAGGCTGATCTTATTGAAGAAAGTTCAGTGCTTTGGCAGACAGAAAAATCTTTGAGAAAGAAAGGATTGAAGGATAAGATAGGAGGGAGTATCTCCTTAAGTTTGAAGAGAAGACTCTTATGGCAGACACTATCGAATGCTTGAGCGACATCCAGAAATACTCCAGTTGCATACAATTTTTGCTCTAGTGCCGTTGCAATGTAGTAAGTCACCCTGTGTAAGTGGTAGATTTTTTTTTTTTTTGCCTGTCAGTATGTTAATAAGTTTTTTGTACAGTAGTTTTTCAAAGATTAAAAAAAAAGATTTTCAAAGAATCAGAAAAATCGTAAATTATAAACTATTACAGTTCCTACAGTCTATGCCATGCTTCCTTTTCTTTTGGTTTGAATATTTCCATTCCAAAATTCATAAACCCTTCTCAAACATTTTGATGGCGTAACTCGCGCCATGATACCCTTTCTGGGCACCCCTTTGCAGGGCTATGGAAGATAATAAGTACATAATATTTGATTGCCCTATGTACACCAACACCCGACAAGCAATGCCAACTAACCAGTATTCCATGCTAGAATGGCTCTATCATTCCTAAGACCGACTTGTGAAGATTACTGAGATATTTGGAGCCTCCAGGACATATGCTAGGTGGATATTCAAGGGAAAAAGGAGCAGAGCGACAAATGTTAAACCTACGATAAACTATATGTAGAAATACTACACCATTGTTATTGTTATTTTACATTAAGATTTACAAATAACATTATTTATAAATTGTAAGATAGGCCGATCAAAAGTAGGTAGGAAGTCACTGGAGTCATGTTTGATGGAACAGTCCTCCAGATGCAGGCTGATCGTTAGTGGAGTTATACCCGTTTTTATTACCTCAATGAAATTATAAAGCTGAATTTTGCCTCACTTTGGCTCCAGAATTATTGTAGAATCACAGTGGGACATAGTCTGCACGCTCGGTTATCAGGTCTGCTGACCGAGCTCTAATTATATTCGTGGTAAAATAGCTCAGTTTGGAAATTAGATGTTATGCTGGTATAGGTTGTACTAAGGTACTGCGAGGAGAAAGAAAAAAGAGATAGAGAAACATATCGTTTATATGTTTGATTTTTAATATATTTGAATGTGACGTTTAATGATACAATGGTATAATTTAATTAGTAGCACAATTGATATTTCTTCTGATCTTTATTTGTTGTATATCATATGGATTTTACACTTGTTTTTTTACCATTATGATTTTATTGGAAAGTGGTTCGTTTTTATTTAAAATACACCTATTATCGAGTAGAATAAACTGGATGAGATCCATCTCCGTGATTTAGGACCCTGTTCATTGCCATGTCCTTAGTGGCCTTCTTCAGGTCGTATGCTTGCCCAATTCGTTCCAGGAACGCAAGTACCTTTCCAGACAAGTTATAGTCCCTTCCAAGCTCAGCTGCGTTGCAGTCCCACGGGAACGCGTGATGGTAGTTGTGCCAGCCTTCTCCGAGGGTGACCATTGAGACGTATTTGTTCTCAACTGGCTTCATATTTCTGGTAAAAAATATTATTCTATTAAGTATTGTAAAATGATGAAGACTGTTAAATAAATTGAAATTATTCGAACAATGGTTTAGATTTGTTTGGGTACAATCCTACAGGGGTATCTTGGACATTGAAAAAGCAAGAATTACATTAAAAGTTTGGTTAATAAAGACAAATAAGAAGAAAACTGAAAAAAAAAATGGAAAATAAAACATTTCAAACTATCCGAAGTACAAAATGATTACAAAATCTGATGTTCATAAATTATCAAGCAGTTCAACTGGCATTAAAAGCTCCTTACCAATCTAGTTACAACTCTAAAACCATCATTGTGCTATGAATTTACTTTAAATTTTATAAATAGTTTGATTTTATAAGTTGAATTTACATTTTTTCACAGGACTGTATATATATATATATATATATATATATATATATATATATATATATATATATATATATCGATGAATCGATTAATACCTGTTTAGTATTAAAATGTTTAAGCAATGTTCTAGTATTCATTGCAATAGTAGTATAGTTAAAAATTTGGAATGTGATTTATTCCTATACTCACTTGTCGTATGGTCTGGTGCCATAAATATGAGCGAAACTATTTACACACCAAGTTATGTTCAGCGATGTGGCGTATCTGCCCATGTAGCAAGTCATAAAGCTGTTCCATACCGTCTCATTCCAAAAATAATAGGGAATTCCCACTAGTATCAGAATAGAAAAAATGATGTGCAAAATCAAGTAGTACCTGAAATTTATAAAACGTAAAAAAAAATATAATATTGCCAACCCAGTTTTATACTGGGACAACGAGAGTGTTCAACTAATTTAATAGTTTTTAAATATTCTTTACATAGTTAATAAGCATAACCACTTTCATTTAATTATTGTATTTATTTATTTAAAACTTTTATTATGATATTTACAACTGTATTAGTATGAATACATCTAGTAAATTTGTACAGAGAAATATTATTACATGAAACACGCTTGTTGAGAAACTACCCACTGGTAGCACTCTAATAATTTGTCTACATGAGAAGATCACGAGGCCATCTTCTTTTCAGACGCCTCGGAGGGTTATCAGGAATCGAAGAGGAAGCAAGGTTAGAAACAAGAGGATTCGGATGGTTATGAAGTTTATTATGGAAGGATAGGTATCTGGATTTGGCCAAATCGGAAACATATGGAACATTGAGGTCTTTATGGATTATTTTATTAGTGACAAAGTAAGGAGCATTGAGGATTTTACGAAGGATTTTGGATTGTAAGGATTGGATGCGAGAGGAATTCGATGGTTTAGTGGAGCCCCATAGCTCAACTCCGTAAGTCCAAATAGGTCTTATTATAGTCAAGTATATGAGTCTTTTGTAATTAAGGGGAAGTTTAGAGCGTTTGTCTAGTAAGTGTTGGAGTAGTCGGAAACGTCGAGCGGTTTCTTGTCGTTTCAGTCTGGTATGAGGATTCCAAGTTAGACGTTTGTCCAAATGAAGTCCAAGGTATCGGATTTGTTCAACAGGGATAAGTGGGGTATTCTTAAAGGATACTGTGGGACATGATGTCATAGGTTTACGTCGAAGGGTAAAGGTGATTTGATGGGATTTATTAATATTTATTTTAATCCTCCAGTTTTGACACCATTCTTCAAGGCTTGTGATGTGTGATTGAAGAGTTTGAGATGCAATGGTTGGGTCATTATTAACGGATAGTACACATGTATCATCGGCATACGTGGTAATAACAGTGTTAGGATGGGTTGGGATGTCAGCTGTATAAACTGTGTAAAGGATAGGACCAAGGATACTACCTTGAGGAACTCCGGCAGATTGAGAAAAGAGGGATGAATAGGTATTATTGTGATTTACTTTGAAGTGCCTATCAGAAATTAATTAATTTAAAATTTTAATTGTAAATTGAATCCAACAGGTTGTAAAGACTCAAGAGCCAAGTTACTGCAACTTATCCAGAAAATATGGGAGGAGGAAAGGATACCAGAGGCCCAGAATACAGACCTAATCTGACAGTAATTACAGAGGCATAGCACTCCTTCTGTTTGCTTACAAGATAATGATCAATATCATACTTAACCAGATATATCCGTATTAAGAAAATATAATAGGTGACCACCAAGCTGGGTTCAGAGAAGAAAGGCATGCTAGACCATCTTCATATTAAAACAAGTCCTCAAAAAACGATGGAAAGTGTCTTAGGAAGTCCACGTATGAGCATGAGTTGGTTACCTTGCCATTTGAGTTGAAATGTTCTCCCTTTATTGCTCAGAGAATCATTGTACAGTTATTTCGGGAAGAAGTTTTTCTGTAGCTGTCCAGTGTAATGACCAGATTTATTTATAGACAACGTAATCACTGGTGCTCGCAATAGTGATGACGCTCTGGAACTGTATAATGAGTTGATAACCTTATTTGGAGCAGAACTAAGAAATTTCTCCAGCATTTCCGAAAAAGTACTTTCTGTTTACCCGAGGTACAGACAAATGGATATATCAGTCCTGTAATCTTTTCTGTTAAATGTATATTACAATGTTTGTGGCTTCTTGTTGAAAACCTCATTGTTGAAGGTTTTCCTTGAAGAATTTCCGAGCATGAGAAATGTTTACCTCGCTGTTTTGTCAGCTAGAAAACATCGTCCATGCAGCTAATCGCCTTTTCAGACTCAACTTAAAGTTGCTCAAGTCTGTATGGGGCAAATGCAGACCACCCATAGCTGTATAGCCGATCCCTTTGGGGCTTACACCGACTCCGGTAGGCGGTAAGCGTACGATGGCCTATATTTCTTTCCCTGAAACCTCAAAGGCCCATACCTCAGGAGAACAGTTGGCGTTCTGAAGAACCGTATCCCGATTCCCGAATTAAATACACGGGGAAGGATCATCATTCCTACGTCCGGTTGTTGAGCGTCACATTCTAGTACTGGCGGACCACACACCCTTGAGGAGAGGAGAAGAATCTCGGTCAGAGTGGATTTCTCTGGTGGACAGTCACCTATTTAAGTTAAATACTTACCACGCTCGACGTTGCTTAATTTTGATCACCTATTGCTAGCGGCTTAGCCCGCACAGGTATCCTGTCTAAATCACTTGAGAGCAGGCCCGGGTTAGTATATTATGATTAGCTATATCTTTTTATGATCAGGACCTTTACCATGGTTGAATAACAATTACCTTTACAAAATACAAATACAAATTACAAAATAAAATAACAATTACCTTTTCTGGAACATGATCCAAGGATCTGCCTCAAGATCCGACAAATCTATCTGTCTACCCTTGGCTATGACTTCAGGATGTTTCGTAACCAACAACCATCCTACGTGCGAGAAGAAGAAACCTCTTCTTGAGTTGTGAGGGTCGGCATCGGTATCGCTGTACTTGTGGTGTAGTCTATGATCTCGAACCCAGAACCACAAACTGTACTAGGGAAATAAATCAGCACTTTTTATAAATATCTGTGACTTATACATTGTTTTTAAAGCTAGTAGGATCTTCTGAATTCCTTTAATGAACTATTGATTAATCCTTACTTGTCCAGACATCGTTTGCCCAATCAAAAAACAGATTCGTAGAGGTAGCTTCGCTTTGTAGCTTCTGTGTGCCCACAAACGGTGAGCTCCAAGAGGAACTGCCAGTGTAATCATATACCCAGTAACCATTGCTATAGTAAATTGAGGTATTTAATTAGTTATTAACTACATGATGTTTTAAAATTAATATGCTTAAATATTGTGTGCGTTATTGCTAAACATAATTAGCAATTACGTTATAATTAATATGTGGATTATCAATACTGAGTATTAATCATATAAATATTTTTAATTTTTTACTAACTAGGAGTTTTTTTTTTAATCACACAAACACTCTCTTCGCTCTCAAACACTCACGTGAGAAATAGTTTCGAATAGATTTAAAAAGATAGATTTGATAACAATAATTAAATGAGGTAAAGTTGGATTTAAGCTTAAATGCGGACATTGAAGGTTTAATAAAGTATTTCTGCTTCTATCAAAACTTCTTAAAAATAGAAAAAATTTGTATAGAACTATTTCACAATATTTCCTTGGCTACAGGTTGAAATAAGACTTTTGATTTCAGAACAATTTGCCCGATTCACAAATAGGGCCCGAAGACGGATTTTTATAATCACCGAGGAAATCCTTTACTTTCGGTATGGTGTAAAATATTCATGTTTATTTCAAGTAATTGAATCATGGAATATCTAAGGGAAATCATTGGAGAATACCAATGTGATTTAGACAGCACCGTTCAACATTTGATCAAACAATACAGAAAAAATATAATGGAGTTGTCGTTCATCAGTTTTATACAGATTTCAAAAATTATGATTGCGAAACTATTTAGCTCCATCCTGACCCGAAAATATTTCGTGTAAAAAAAAATTATTTTATGAAAAACAAGAATGACAATTAAATGTATTTCACGAAAAATAATTATTAAAAAAATATTCTTGGTAGGTATCAATAGATTGTTTTCTATTATATTTTGTAATGTTGTACATATCGTAGAAAATTGCATTGTTTAGATATTATTATCCATTATTTAACACCTATTGCATCCTCACTTCCGAAGGTTTGGGAAGTTTTGTATACGTGCGGGAGGTTTAAAAAATATATGTGCTCAAAATCGAAATTTCCCACTCGCATTCTACGTTTCAGACATCAAGGTTCAAATTTGGTTCGGCGTCTGTAGTCAAATAGTTGTAACCGGTATATCACCTACTACCGTTTATCCGATCTTCATGAAATTTTCAGATAACGTGCACATTGGTGTGTAGATTGCCCCATATCAATTTCATTAAAATACATCAAGCACTTCCACTTACGTACGCGCAAATGTATTTCCTTAACTATGCCAATATTTCAGAAACGGCTCGTTCGATTCGACCCAAAATTAGAAGAAAGATAGGTCTTGGTAAAAAAATGATGCTGTATCAATTTCATTGCATTCCGTCAACTTCCTTCTCTTAAATATGCCCAAAAAACGTATTTTTCGTGATACGTCTATATCTCTGAAACCGCTGTTTCGATTTGGTTCAAATTTAGATGGTTGTTAGGGATCGGTCAACAAATAAGTATCAATTTAATCAAATTCTATCCATTAATCTAAAAAAAAAAGACTTCCGCTTTCGGATCAGTAAACGTATTATTTGATATGCCTATAGTTTGAAAATGGCTCGTTTTTTCACTCAACCTTAGGGGAATAGTTTTGTAGAATAATTCAGAAATTGTCTAGTACCAATTTCATTTAATTCTATTTAATAATTAAAATTAATGTAAATAACTATTAATAATACAATGGCTGTGAAATGTGGAAGGGTTAGGTGAAATACGGGTTAGGTTAATAGTTTTATTCAAAAAGTTAATTTATACTGTATTGTTTGGTCGATCCCGAAAGTTACTGGCATGACACTTACTGCTTTCACTTATATTTCATGTAATTCTCAGTAAATTTTAATCAATTTTTACTTCATTCAGTTAGTAAAAAAAAAAAAAAAAAATTATTTGTGATTAAGTATCTCTCTAATCATCAAAGTTTTGTGAACTTGTCATGTTTCATGTTTCTATATTTCAGCTTAAATTAATTTTGTTCTCATTGAGGGAAAATATTGATCTCATTACCTCTGAACAAACACTTTTTTTAATTTTCCCAATGGATTTATGTTTCCTTCATTTAACTAGTGAAAACACACTTATAAGTATACATCGCTACTGGTAGTGTAAAAGATCGTATGTAACAATTTTACATTTTTATTCTATTAGTGCTAATGGTGAAATTTCGTAGTATGCAACTGATACAGGTATCCAAATAAACTGAGATCACTAAACATTAAACTGAGATCACTAAACATTAAACTGAGATCACTAAACATTAAACTGAGATCACTAAACATTAAACTGAGATCAGGTCTCATACCATAAATTGATGTTAAAATCACTCTTCCTGATAAGAATAGGTACCACCCATAAATTCCACAAATATGTATTATGGTGAGACCGATCACATTTGGCCAGAAGATGCTTGGAACAAATTGGTCTATTTTTTCTTTTAATACATCCAGTTCCTCAGTGTCCTCGCTCTTTTTCTCCATGATCTAATTATACTGAAACAAATGAATTAATTTAATTTTAATAATTTTTAATGTAAGGGGCCAGGGGTACTCCAAAATCGAAGTACAAATCTTTCCCCGGTGAGTTTCCTCAAGGGGGGGGAATTAGAGTAAAACTAAACGAAGAAAGAACGAAAGGAATGAAGATATGAATGAGACTTGTAAACATTAAAGAAAGAAAAAAAAACATGCACAAAACAATACCTAATAAAATTATTCAATTAATAAAAGATGTTTAGATAAACAAATAAAAAATCCCCTTCTAAATGTACACAATATTTATTGAAAAAAAAGAAATCCAAATATATACAAAATATATAAACATTGTTATAAATTTATGAGAAGAAATACAATATCCTATTGAAAAAAAAATAAAAAAATTGTCCATTAAAAAACATAAACAAAAATATACTTCTAAATCAGAGTAAAAAAAAAGAGAAAAAAATGTAATCTAAAATTCAATCGAGTGTCCAACACATTTAATAAATTATAACAATGGCCAAGTTACGTTAATGTTCATTGTCTTTATAACGACGGAGAGATTAAAAAAAAGCGTATACTTTTTGAGTTATTCGGAATTTAATTTTAACATCTCTCGTAACTTTTTTTCCAGCTTCTTTTCGTTGAAGTATGTTATATGTTATATTTAAAGGATATCGAGAAAATGACTTTAGCGAAGTTTCATTTTACAACAAATTACTGATCTACAAGAAAATCCTGAAACCCATTTGGACCTATGGACTTGAACTTTGGGAAACAGCAAAATTCTCTAACATCAAACGCATCCAATCCTTTCAATCCAAAGTCCTCCGAACAATAGTCGATGCTCCGTTCTATGTAACAAAACCCTACATCATGACCTTAATATCCCATTTGTCTTTGACCTTATCCCTGAAAATTTTTCAAAATTCCATCAGGACCTTAAAATTCAATCATCCAAATCCCGTAGCCCAATCCCTATCTAGTTCCATTCATTCCTACAATCCTCCTCGAAGGTTGAAGCGGCAGTGGCCCAGCGATCTTTTATAGTATTTATTTTGGAGTTCTGGCAATGGCCAGATTCTCCACTCAAGACATGAGTGTATGTGGCTAAGCGCTCTCGCTCAAACTCCACCGGCTTTAACACCGGTGTGAGGCGGTTGAGTTAGAGCAGGGATTTGGCTTTCTCGCCTGATTGTATATATTGTATATAGGTATGACTGTATTTTTATGTTTTTAATTTACTTATATTTAGGTTATTTTATTTTGTTTATTGTATATAGTTTTTATTTATTATTATTTAGTTATTATTTTACTTTTGTTAATTTTGTTTCTTTTTTGTATATACGGTGTGAATGTGTTCATTTATCAATATAATTATTGTCCCTGTGACAGAATATTATATGTATAAATAAATAAATAAAAAAAAAAGCAAAGTTTCATTGAAATCGGTACATTCGTTTAGGCGCTACAGTCAATAGGAACGCAGGTTTTTCTGCATTTTTATTTTTTTCTCCTTTATTAACTTATAAAATTCTTTCAAAAGTTATATGTAACATTTTTTCGTAACTCTGAATAATGCGAAATGGTTAACTTTTTAAAATAAACCATATTAAAAATACTTTAGAGGAAGACATATATGAACATTGGGCATTGAAGCCCTGTAAAGTGACATCAACGGGGATAAGACCTGAATGATATTAAAGACCACTTAATTATACAAAGATACACCGACTTTGATCAAAATCGTTTAAGCCGTTTTTGAGAAAATTGTAAAAATGTGTTTCAGCGTTCATATAAAGTGGCACTTCCGGTTAGCCGATTTTTACGAAAAAGTTGCTGTCACATCCGGCCCATATACAAACCTTCAATACTTAATATCAGTTTCGTACTACATTTCGTTTATGAGCTAGACTGTTAACACACACACACCCAGACCATTTTGCGACACTTGGTTATTTGAACTCAGGGGACCTCAAAACATGTATTTCCGTTGAAAACTGAGATTAGAAAATTTTCACGATCGCAATACTTACCCTTACTATATATTACATATATATGTAAGTGAAAGTAAAAAATTACAAGTGATAGGTACTCCCAAGGAGGTTACCTGGCTGTTCAACGGCCCGTAGTGGGTGATATCGATGAGTTATCGATATCGATCAATCGATACAGCTGACCCTCAGAAGATTGTGCCAGATGGGACGACACAGAAGCTGCTGGCGGGGTGGGGGGTTTCTTAAGAGCTCATTCACAGACCCTGAGTCTCTGAATGCTTGCTCGAGACTGCGTGGATTCCACCCCGGCAGTTTTATCGCAATATTTTGATGTGTTAATAGCCTCATTATTACTGCCGGGATGATGCGTATACACAAAGCGATAATACATCGCAACGTATAATATACAAACCTAAATACATTTCCGGAACAATTGTCCCTTGGAACTTTACAAAAGAATAAATGAACATTTTATTACATTCGATTTACATCCGGAAGGGGTGAACACTAAGGATGAAAAAAATAATAATGAAGAATAGATGAAAGAAAAGAATAGATAGACTACAGAAGAGAGAAAGAGAAAAAAAAAGAGAGGGAGAAAAAAAATATATATGCATACATTATCATACATACATACAGGCGTTAACAATATAGTATGATAAAGTATTGCAATCGTGAAAATTTTCGAAAATGAGTTTTCAATGGAAATACACGTTTTGAGGTTCTATGAGTCGAAATAACTAATTAACTGATTCCCACAAAATTTTCTGTGTATGTGAACAGCGTAGCTCAAAAATGAAAAATTGTAGGAAAGTGATATTACGTATTTAAGGTAGGTATTTGGTTGGGATGTTACATCAACTGTTTCATCGACTTACCGAAAGTGCCATTTTATGTCATTGATTAAACACATATTTATTATTTTCTCGTAAAAGAATCTAAGAATTTTGAATTAATTTGTTAGATCAACATGTTATTAAGTGGTCTTTAATACCAGCTAGTTCTAATTCTCATTGGATCCAGTAGCGGATCCAGGATTTAATTTTGGAGGGGCTTCAGCCCGATAGGATTTTTTTTTCATATATATATATAACCGTAATTACTTTGGAAAAGAAGAAAATAAACTACCAAAGGAAATATTGTTTAAGTAATAGTTGAAGTCCTATTAAATTTAATTACACTAACAATAATGCTTTAAGAGGTAATGTTTTAATATTTTTCCCCATAAAACAGGGTTACATTTTACTACTTTGGGGGAACTTCAGCCTGAAAGCCACCCTCCCCCCTCCCGTAGATCCACCTGTGATGTCGCTTAATAGGGCTAAAATGCTTAATGTTGGAAATTTCTTTTTCTAAAGTACCTTTAATTTAGTTTATTTTAAATAATTAAACGACTCATTCTTAGTAACAATAAAAATGGCTGGATATAAACTTTTGAAAGATTTATTAATCAACCAAAGGAGGAAAGAAGAAAAAAAATATTTTCAGGCTGAAAAGAATTTCCGGAAATAATAGTATGAATATATATATATATATATATATATATATATATATATATATATATACACATGTATAATGTATCGTTGAAAAACTGAAGGTTTCAGAAAAAATAATATTTAACAAAGGAATTCGTAGAATAGAAGTGACGAAAGATTTAAATAATAATTTATGACAACTAATATTTTTTAACGGAGAAATGTTTTTATGGAAATTAAATGAAATTTTCTAACTAAATGTAGATAACTTTTAAAATTAATTTAAAGTTCAAAAAAGTATATATAATGCACCGAATTAAGTCAATGACATAAAAACTTTTTTATTGTACTTGTGTGATAGAACAAGCGACATTTGTCCACTCAATGAATGGCCCGATAGCTATAACAATATAATAACAAAATTTAATTTAGTTATAATTATATATTTTCACAAATTACTATTTATATTTTTTTCGTAACCCTCTTCGTAACCTTTTATGTCTTTCTTTATTAGATATTGTTATTTTTTTCTAAAATTCTCCGCTTTCTAACGATATATTATACATGTACCTTCTGACTAGCATTTCCAGAGATTCATTTTCGACCTAAATAGACATTTTTCGTTTTTTATACTGTTTAAAATGATCAAATTCTTTCATATTTTATATTTAGTTATTTTTTATAGTTATTGTCAATAAGAAAGAGTTAATTTTTTAAAATAAATCAACTTAAAGGTACTTTAGAGAAAGACGTAAAAGAACATTGGGCATTTAAGCCCTGTAAAGTGACATCAACGAGTCAAGACATCAATCAATAAGTCCTTTTGATATTAAAAACAATTTAATAATTCATTGATATACCGACTTTAATTAAAATCGTTAGAGCCGTTTTCGATAAAATCGTAAAAATGCGTTCTATCGATTATATAAAGTGCTACTTCCGGTTTAACTATTTTGACGAAAAAGTTACTATAACACCCTAAGCATATACAACCTTAAATACTTAATATCAGTTTTGTAGGACTTTTCGTTTTTGAGCTACACTGTTCACACACACAGACCATTATGCGGGACTTGGTTATTTGGACTCAGGAGACCTCAAAACGTGTATTTCCGATGAAAACTCGGATTCAATATTTTCCATTACTATTACTATATTACATATATACATAAGTGAAAGTAAAAACCAAAATAATAAATGTGAACCGACAGATATTCGTTTGGGAAAATATGCATTTTTTCTTTAATAATTTTTCTTAAAGTACCTATTCGCA